GGGGGGGGGGAGGGGGTGGTCCCCTCCGGTCGTAAATCCCCGGCGGTTGATATGCCCTGAGTGCAACTACTCGTCATGGGGACGTTTCCCTCACACAGCAACAGCATCTGCCCCCCGTCTAGCCGTAGGAAAGGGAGGATTTGGGGAGGGGGAGGGGGTGCTAAACGTAGGCTCGACAGCAGACTAAACGACAAGGGGCCTTCGGACGTGCCGTTTCTGTTTAGTTTCTCGCTCCAGTAGCGATGCGTGTCGTCGTTGGCAAAGCACCCGCCTCCCCTCTTTTCGGCCCCTGTCCCAGCCGGGGTGGGGTGCTGCCCCAGCCTCGTGAGAAAAAGAGGGGGGGGGGCAGGAAGCCAACACCGGCGGCGTGATTTGTCGGGTGGAGCTGAACAGGAGATCAAAAAGGAGTCCAAATTGCATTCCACTACCGAGGCTGGGCCGCCCGCGCGGGGCGGTCTGAATTCCTAGACACCCTAGCGCGGCCTAGAGCGCGTAGATGTGGCGATGTGGCGCTAGATGCGACCGGGCCGGCGGCCCCTGTCGCAGCCTCCCTCACCCACCTGGGCCCTGGCTGCTGCCACGCCCCGCCACGCCCCGCCACGCCCCGCCACGCCCCGCCACGCCCCGTCGGGGGCTCCCTCCTGGCTCCACGCGATTCGGTCAGCGACAGCGCCACGGGGGCAGCGCCAGCGTAGCGCGCACAGAGTGCCACAGAGCCCCATTGTGTGGGAACCACGACCGAAACGGAGGCGGAACCAGACGGGGCCAGGCCGGGGGATGCTTGTGTATTATTTTGAAGCAGCTTGCTGGCGGGTGGGTTCGAACGCGTACCCACCTCCAGACGCGGTGCTAGTCAAAGATCAGTCTCATTATGGGATCTTCCGGGTTCGTTTACTAAATGGACGTCTCCCGCTCGCAGGTGCAAGGGCGTCGACGACATGGACGAGGATGACGACGTGGACGAGGACGAGGACAGCGGATCCTCCGAGTCGGAGAGCGAGCAGCACGTGCCCCACATCCTGGCGCCGCTCAGCCCGGGCTCCCTGGTGAGTAGCGTCGTCTGCCCGCGCACCTGAATGTGCACCATGGTGCTGTGCACCAAGGTGCTTGTGCACCAAGGTGCTGTGCACCAAGGTGCTTGTGCACCAAGGTGCTGTGCACCAAGGTGCTGTGCACCAAGGTGCTGTGCACCAAGGTGCTGTGCACCAAGGTGCTGTGCACCAAGGTGCTGTGC